ATTTTAGAGCTGGAAATGTGCTTGCTGGTCACCTCACCCCTCCTCATTTTATGGTTGAAGAAACTGAGGAATAGAGCATTTGAGTGATTTTTACAGGGAAGAACCAGACCAGCCTGCAGCCACTACGGCATCCAGGCCAAGAAGCATGTGGTGTCCCTGCAGAGGACCCCACGGGGCTTTCACTAATAAAGATGGAGGTGCGTGTCTAGAACACCGAACACATTACATCCGAGAGCAGAGGCTTTATTTACAAGGATATTCGAACAGGATTAGCAAAGGCTACCTCTTCCTGCTCGGTATCTTAGCAGCATGGGTTGTACTTCATGAACAGAAAAGAGAACTGTCCTGGGAGTAGGAAGTGAACTCTCTTCTTAGATACGTTCTCTAAATCCCAACGTGTTCCATGCTCCCCCCGCGGGGTAGTTGGTGGACACGTGGTTATAGCCTCCATCCCACTGAGGAATGTGTCCAGGGAAGATGTCAACACTGGCCGGGACAAACATCAGGCTTTCATCTCACTCATGGCCTCCATCAGGCGAGCACTGTTTGTGACTGCTGTCATCAGGAAAATGAACCTGTAGCCTAAGGAGGCAAATGCAGCAGCAGAAGAGACAGTGCAGATCTTATGCCCCCGTGGTAATCATGCAGCCCCTCCAGTTCCACAGTCCCCATGGGATCAGAGCACCAGTTTACAGACAGAGACATGAGTGCCATACTCCTGGGCACCACTACTTTCTATGCCTAGCGTAACTGGCTCCCTGCGACAGCAGCCCACAGTAAGGCTATGGCAAGCTGTACCCCAAGGCCAGGAGAAAAATATTCCTGTGCAGGACAGTGAGTGAGTGTGTGCGTGCGTGTGTGTGTGTTGAGAGAGAGAGAATGTGTCTGTGTGTGTTGAGTGTGTGTGTGTGTGTTCAGAGAGAGTGTGTGTGTGTGTGTTGAGAGAGTGTGTGTGTGTGTTCAGTGTGTGCGTGTGTGTGTTGAGAGAGAGAGAGAGAGAATGTGTCTGTGTGTGTTGAGTGTGTGTGTGTGTGTGTGTGTGTTCAGAGAGAGTGTGTGTGTCTGTGTGTGTGTGTGTGTGTGTGTGTTGGGATGGAGTCTCGCTCTGTTGCCCATGCTGGAGTGCAGTGTCACGATCTCAGCTCACTTCAACCTCCGCCTCCCAGGTTCAAGCAATTCTGCCTCAGCCTCCCGAGTAGCTGGGATTACAGGCACCCACCACCAAACCTGGCTAATTTTTGTATTTTTAGTAGAGATGGGGTTTCATCATGTTGGTCAAGCTGGTCTCAAAATCCGGACCTCAGGTGATCCACCTGCCTCGGCCTCCCAAAGTGCTGAAATTACAGGCGTGAGCCACCGCACCCAGCCGACGCTTTGTTGGCCAGATACAATGCAGGCCAATTCTCATCTTTGTGCTGTCTCTTACCTTGCTCTCTGCCCAGGAACCGGAGGGCTGAGATCTCAGAGAATGTGCAACCGCCCAAGGACACCACCAAGATGAGGCGCAGGGACTCACTGGAAGCCTTGTCTTCCCTGGTCATGTCTGTGAGGATCAGACCAGATTCAGCTCTTCCCTGACACGCTAGTCCTGAGTGGTGCCTCCAGCCCACCCCTCACTACCAGCCTACCCCACTGTCGATGGCACATACCTGTGAATGCAAAGTCACCACAGTTGAGCAGCCGTACCACCTCATCAAGGCCCTGCCAGCTTCGCCGCTCTAGCACCTGAGAAGGCGTAAGCACTGTTTCAACGCTACAGACAGTGTCAGGCTTAGGAAAGGAAGGGTACAGCAGCCAGACTGTCACGTTTCTTGCTCATTACTCAAGTAGCAAAAAGCTGAGACAGGGCCGGGTGCAGTGGCTCACGCCTGTAATCCCAACATTTTAGGTGATCAAGGTGGGGGGATCACCTGAGGTCAGGAGTTTGAGACCGGCCTGGCCAACATATAGTTGGTCCAATCTATATGAAACCCTATCTCTACTAAAAATACAAACATTAGCTGAGTGTACTGTAGTCCCAGCTACCTGGGAAGCTGAGGCAGGAGAATCACTTGAATCGGGGAGGCGGAGGTTGCAGTGAGCTGAGATCGTGCCACTGCACTCCAGCCTGGGCAACAGAGCAAGACTCCATCTCTCAAAGAAAAAACAAAGTTGAGACAGGCCAGGGGCCAAGAGAAATCAAAGAGAGTGAAATATGAATGGAAGCAAGAGTAACATGCTCTCACCTGCTCAATGATTCGGCAGCTCAGGGGCACGTAAGCACCACTGAAGATGTAAGCCATGTCTCGGGGCACCAGATCATACTCGCCGTCCGCGTGGGATCTGTAAGACAAAGGGACTTCATCAGGCAAATAACAGCTCAGCTCCCTAACCATTTAAAGGGTCAGAGAAAGTGGCAAAGCCCAAAGAACAGTTCTTATTTCAACTAAAGGGAGAAGTAGCAACAGCCCTGGAAAGAGGATCCGTAGCCGAAGGTGGCAGTCTCTGTTCAGCCACTGCCAGTTCTCTGGAATGAGTTCCCATGTGCCATTACTGAATAATATGAAGGGCTGGAGGGGAGGCTTCTCCTTTCCCTGCCCTCAAGTGACATGGGATATGGCTGTCACTGAAGCAGCACTTATTCTCTGGCACTGGCAGGTGCTTGTTTTATTTATTTATTTATTTATTTATTTTTATTTATTTATTTTTTGAGACGGAGTTTCACTCTTGTTACCCAGGCTGGAGCGCAATGG